GTTTTCAATGTAGCTGGTTGTTACGAGTTGCTTGGGTGTGAGCTACGGTCTTCGATCATTTAAGACAGAGTAAATAGTAGTCATCTGGATTGTTATCCACGCGAAGATTTAATCCTTTTTCCATTGATTGACGTCTTCAATAGTGGACACCTAAGGCTGCGTTCATAGCTTGCGTTCGTGAAGAAATGCGGAAAATTCAGAAGTGCGGAATCTGCAGAAAAGCAATAGATACTTATCGACTTGAAGAAATGCCGAAACTGCAGAAGTGCGGAAAGTGCAGAAATGACGAAAAGCATTACATACGTATCGATTTGAAGAAATGCAAAGTGAAGAAGTGCGGAATCTGCAGAAATGCCGAAAGTGAAGAAGTGCGGAATCTGCAGAAATGCCGAAAGTGCGGAATGTGCAGAAAAGCAACCGATACGTATCGATTTTCCACACTTTCGGCATTTCTGCAGATTCCGCACTTCTTCACTTTCGGCATTTCTGCATTTCTTCAAGTCGATAAGTATCTATTGCTTTTCTGCAGATTCCGCACTTCTGCATTTTCCGCATTTCTGAATTCTTCATGAACGCAAGCTATGCACTCGGCCTAAGATTGTAAGTATGCTTGCTTTTCCCGTGCAATAACATGATATTTGTTGAATTCATTCGCGCCATGCAAAAGCACATTTTTGTATAGTGTTCTCTTTTCTAGGAATGGGAAGACAAGGTGATAGCTAGTGGTTGCGTGGATATGGAGCCCCGGCATACTCATACTGCGCACCCTCCTCATCAAGTAGCTCCACCGCCAATGCGCGGTCATGTCATGCCACCTCGAATGGGCACAGTAACACAAGTCCGTCTACAAACAGCACCTCAGGTTTTATTCTTTGAATCTTGCTAACTGGTTAAAGATGCTAGTCAACTCGTGGTTTTGAAGATGGTGTCGCAGTCGCATTCCGGTATGATGAACCATATAGAACAAGGAAGACCCATGCAAATGCAATACGTACCACAGCAAGGCATGCAGCAAATTCAAGTTCAGGTTGGAGAATATATTGAGCTATGATGTAGTTATTGTTCTTCATATACATAAGTTGTTAGAGAGATATCGCTTAAAATAGCGGTTCGTTTTTTTAGAATAGTTTCGTTCAATTCATACTTTCATTTTATGTTACTTTCATGCATATTCGCTCCACTTCCACCCAAGGTAATTCAAAGAGGGCATTCTATGAGTATTGGATCCTTGGTTCCATCGACCGCCGCGCTTACCTTCTTCCACACATTTCATTAGCCGCCTAGTATCAGGCTCTTCTTTTACCGAACAGGTGGTCAACATTCTTTGACCAATAGCATCATACCTGCTCCTTTCAACACTATTACGGTGTATGGAGTGGTGGTAAGGAGCGTTGATCAAGTGGACAGATGAGAGAAAAGCCGGGTATTAGTCGAGCATTTGATCGTACGAATGTAGGTAGGCGCGATGGAGCCACGCCCCGCAAAGCCGGGCCGTATCACATAGAGGTCCGAAGTGCCTGGAGTGCTCTGGAACCGCTTGAAGGAATTTTTGAGGCTGGCCCCGCTCACCTTGACGCACGCTCCACACACAACAGGTATGCTTACACTTGTGAACCGGTGACCCCTCGATGACCTTAAACCACTTTCCCGGTGTCTGGAGTGCTCTGAAACCGTCTTGTGAATTTTTAAGATTTCTCCACCCACTTCAGGGCACGCCCCACATACAACGTATGTCTCGCGCTTCTCAACAAATAACTCCTCGCAACTAACTACGACTTCTCAACGCCAACGTTTGTCTCTTCTATGAGCCCCCCCCCTTCACTTTTCGAAATTTTTCCCAAAATGTTTTGCCGTCGAGCGGGTAGGGGGTCGTCATCAACTAACAACTGATTCCAACTATCAGAAATTGTGACTGTACAGTATTTCCGAGGCGCCACCAACTAGGTGGAGGGAGAGGGTGGAATTGCATACATGAAGGGAAAAGCCGTGAAAAATTGTTCCCGATGCAGAAAGCTATTCACA